GATAGACTAACTGTAGAAGAAAACCTTCTACAGTTAGTCTTTCTAACATATTATATCTGTATAAACGTCTATCTGGAGCTCATCTTCGCTACTACTTGTGTCATGAGACTCATTCGTGTTTGAACGTTTTGCCATTGTTCTAATAAAAAATATGAATAAATACATAGGTTGAAAATTTCTAATTGTTATTACTAACTCACAAGATGATATTTACCAAACAAAACTTTTACCAAACAATTTATTTACCAAGAGAAGAATCACTTTTCCGATTTTCTCACTCTTTAGATCTATCTATACCGCTCGACGCTTCAAACCAGACTGAGTTCAGCTTTGAAAATCTTTTCCTCCAGATTTTATGATTATAAATCTCACTATACAGTGCGTGCTATGTTCGCATACCGACCTTTCTTCTACAAACTTGCCTCATCGCTCTTTTCAAATGGCGCCTTCGAAGTGCTCGGACCGTCGTGAGCACGCCTCTCACGTTCTCGTCAAAACCCGCTTTTTACTATATTTTGATTTGATTTCTTGTGCCACTTCAAGAGAAAACTTCAGGGAAACATGCATGTCTGAAAAAGTTGCGCTGAAATAACTGAATTCCCCGTAATCACTAATAAACTTGAATGTCCCACGAGAGGGGACATCCGAGTGATATGCTAAAATTACGATATCCCACGAGAGGGGAGAGCGGAGTGCAAAGGGTTAATGTTATTAATTATCGACCATCGGAAGCTTAAGTCACTTTGCAGTTGAAAAATGTAAGTAATTAGAACATTTCGAACAAAACGAATAAACGAATGAAGCAAATTACCATGCAGATTTCCTCCTCGATCGGTTTCCCGCCGATTACCGCCGTCTTGACCAGCGCCCTCGTGTTCCGCGGATAGATAATTTTCTCTGGAACAGACACACGAGGCATTAAAGTCACCCAGCACCGTTGAAACGTCCACAATTCAGTATCCACCTGGATAGAGTTCGTCCGGCTCCGCCATGAGAGCTGCGCACCTTGCCGCTCTAGTGGACAATAGCATCCTTCGAGCTTCAACTTTCGAGGAAACGAAACCACTGAACGCATGTACATACGAGATTAACTGACGAGTTAATATTCAATCAGAAGGTCGAATCAGTTGACGCTGATCAGGATAATCGGGGACCGATGTGTGCGTTGACATAGTCCATCGATGACCGAACCTCTCGAGAACCACGAATTTTTGCTTCCAAAAGAAGAAGGTACACCGAACGAAGTGAATAAATAAAATGACGTCGACAATGTCAGGTTTATCGACTCGGAGATAATGGTTTATCCTACTTGGAGAAATCCGTTCGCGAGGTTTGATCGGATGGAGCAACGATTCCGCCGAGGTGTCCAGGACCGGGATGCCTGACCGATTGTCACCACTGGGTGATGCACGCTCGCAGAAACGGCGCACCAAGCTATCGAATATCAATTGGGATTCGTGCCGGATTCCAGGTCCCTTTATATACGCTTATCCGGGCTGATATCTCGAGAAGTCCGTGAAAGTTGAAGCGCACGAAACGCGTCAATTCGGATGTCCGAAGACACTCGGGAGGATAGACGATAGACATGCCCCAATAACGTCTGTCTGTCTCTCGGCCATACATGTCTCAGACCACGCGAGCAATTTAATCCTGTTGTGAATCGGCGTGCGCGATTCCGCCGGATCAAAACGACGTACAGCTTCTTCGGCAAGCCACTCGGCCATCTTAATTACCGCTGATCGAACACTTGGCACGACTTTCCGTCGACGACGAGTGCCGAACCGGTCGCTCTATGTCGACGATTTTCCTTCGTTCAACCCCTTTACGAACGCGCCAATTTACGTCACGGGCACGCTTAATTGATTAAAAAATAGTTTTCGATTTGGTTAAATTCGAAAGCACATTGGCATTTTCTATTTGCATTGTGCAAGAGCTTCTGTCACGAAGGACTCGAACGGCGCGAAATTTTCTTTTGGAAATTTAGCGAAAGCAAGTTGGAACGTTGATTCACGATTCTGGCCTTAAAATGAAATAATAAGAAATGTGTGTTAAGTTAAGGGGTTGAAGGAGGGGTTGAAAAATGCGTGACATTTTCCAACGCCACGAAAATTCACTAATGTCGAAACTTGTTCATATAATTAACCATACGCACAGACGCAGACGTCATTCGCCCCTTGAATTTGTTAAACAGATTTGCACAAACACTCCTTTATAGTTGGCAGAAGCTCGTGTTACATACACAATGTGACCAATAAATAATTACTATTCGTGCTAGAGCATTAAAATAATTTCATTAAAATGATTTGTTACCATTTAAATTGTACAATTATTACAACGAATGAACGATCTATCCAAAGAAGTAGATCTCTTTTTTGTTTATTTATCAAGCTATGAAACCCCGTACAGGATTATTAGCAATATATTTTGTAATATATTATTACAAAATTACTATTACCTATACAATATATTATATATATATAATATAATAATAATAATATAATATATATTACATATATATTATTACATATTACTTTGGATATATGAAACTTGTCAAGTAAGTAAGATCTTCTTAATACTTCGCCATAAACGCATCTTCGCGTTCTAAATAATCATTTTAAATTCATCATTTGAACAGTTTCCAGTATTAACACTTTAATGGCCGCAGGTCTGCGCAGTCAAATGTCGCCAGGGGCCGGCAATATTTATGTAAATTCATGAAATAATTCAACACGTGCGAATATATATACGCATAAAGCAAAAAAACAACAACAACAACAATAACAACAAATTTAATATTCTTCCTTTGTGTGATAGTTATGAAAATATCACACACATGTTGTTGTTGTTGTGTGAGCGGCCATTAAAGCGTTAAATAGAAAATTATCTGGTAATAAAGAGAATTAATTACACTTACATGGAAGTGTCTGAACTGTAAAATAAAAATACTTGGTATTTATAATGTAATCAATGCGAAATTTGAAATGCAATGCCCCGCGATACTAACTGTAATCTCAAACAACATTGCACCGTTGCGCTCCGGAACAAATTGACGACCCTGGATTTCCATTAAATTCAATAAGATGTGCACAGAGGTGGGACAGCCGATGTGGTTAAACCGCCGTTTTTTCTATTTGCCGGAGCATGTAACGCGGACTGCACTTCCGCAATTTTTGAAGCTGCACCGTCGGGGAAAATTGAAAAAGCCGTTCCGACCGAAACCCACTTAACGCGCTGCCATTTCATTTGCTGCTTTAACATTACAGTTAGAAATACATCCGTATGTACATTCATTCATACATACATACATTTATACGTACATACGTACATACATACATACGTATACCGTGTTCCGCAAGAACTGCCTGGCGTCGCGTGACGTCTCGAGCTTCGAAAAAATGTAAGCCAGTTTCATTCTCGACCGGTTTTTTTGCTCTTACTGATAGAAAAATTGTTTTGGTGCCTGTCGGCGAGCTTCGCAGTAGGGCGAAAGGAAATGGCAGCGAAAAACGCTGTTTAAATCACGCCACCGCACGTGTATATTGGCTGTACAAAGTATTCGCACGCTCTGATTTCTAATATTGGGTTGGCAACTAAGTAATTGCCGATTTGTTGAATGAAATAAAAAAATTTTTTTTTACTTGGAACGAAGTTTAATATATTTTCCTAATTTTTCTAATATATTTTCCATTTTGTTCGATGACCTTTTGCCATCTCTCTGACAACTTGACAATTCCACGCTCGTAGAAAGTCCGATCCTTTTCGGCCAAAAACTGAGTTAAGTGAGATTTTACAGCGTCGTCGTCATTAAAAGATTTACCACGAAGGGAGTTGTCCAGGGATCGAAATAAGGGGTAATCCGATGGCGCGAGATCGGGGCTATATGGCGGGTGTAACATCAATTCCCAACCAATATCCATGAATTTTTGCCGAGTGGACAAAGACGTGTGCGGCCTAGCATTGTCCTGCTGGAAAATGGCACCTTTACGATTGACCAATTCTGGTCGCTTTTCCTTGACCGCTGCATTCAATTTGTCCAGTTGCTAACATTCACGGATAATAAAAAATAACATAATAATAATAATAATAATAATAATATTATAATATAACATTTACGGATATCATAAAAATGGGAGTGAGAGACATCTATAACTGAAATCGGCAATTACTTAGTTGCCAACCTAATATAATAACAAGCATTTTGTAACAGTAAATGCGTTTATGTAGATACGTTGATCGCGCAGATTTCCCATATTATTAAAATAAAACTGAAGCTCTACCGTCGAATATTACCGATGTATCTCTGACAAAATGTTGTTTTGTTTCGATTCTAAGTGAGATAAATTAATAAGGTACAACATAATCAACTAAACCTAAAGGAATAACGAACTCTTCGTTGAAACTTTTGAAACTTCATCGGAACTTTGATTTATTTGTTATCGTATTAACTGTTTCATATGCATATGTTAAATTTTGACGTATTGCGACAATACTGTTTTCTTTTAATCGATAAACGAATCTTTTAACATCGAAAATTATAAACAGACTCTAATTTTGCATATTTCGATTGACTTACAATTTCGATGCGATTAAATAGAATGCCTCGATTCTATACAGTTTTTACAATCGTTAGGTCAAAACAGTATAAACAGTATAAACAGATTTTAATTTCGTTTCATGTAACATTTCAGTTAACTTACTATTTCGATGCAATCAAATAAAATGCCTAGGT